CCCCCTTGAACTTTTCAACCTTTTGCCACATTTCAGGCTTAAAACATAAAGATATTAAATTTTTTTTTTTTTTGTGAAGAATCAACAAGTGGGACAAAATCATGAAGTGGAATGAAATTTATTGGATGTGTCAAACTTTTTTAGCAAATAAAAAACTGAAAAGTGCGGTGTGCAATATTTTTCGGCCCCTTTACTTTCAATGCAGCAAACTCACTCCAGAAGTAAAGTGAGGATCTATGAATGATCCATTGTTCTTCCAAATGACTTATGATGATAAATAGAATCCACCTGAGTGTAATCAAGTCTCCATATAAATGCACCTGCTCTGTGATAGTCTCAGGGTCCTGTTCAAAGCACAGAGAGCATCATGAAGACCAAGGAACACACCAGGCAGGTCTAAGATACTGTTGTGGAGAAGTTTAAAAAATAGATTTGGATACAAAAAGATTTCCTAAGCTTTAAACATCCCAAGGAGCACTGTGCAAGCAATCATATTGAAATGGAAGGAGTATCAGACCACTGCAAATCTACCAAGACCCGGCCGTCCCTGTAAACTTTCATCTCGAACAAGGAGAAGACGGATCAGAGATGCAGCCAAGAGGTCCATGATCACTCTGGATGAACTGCAGAGATCTACAGCTGAGGTGGGAGAGTCTTTCCACAGGGCAAAAATTAGTTGTACACTGCACAAATCTGGCCTTTATGGAAGAGTGGCAAGAAGAAAGCCGTTTCTCAAATATATCCATAAAAAGTGTTGTTTAAAGTTTGCCACAAGCCACCTGGGAGACACACCATCATGTGGAAGAAGGTGCTCTGTTCTGATGAAACCAAAATCCAACTGTTTGGCCACAATGCAAAACGATATGTTTGGCGTAAAAGCAACACAGCTCATCACCTTGAACACACCATCCCCACTGTCAAACATGGTGGTGGCAGCATCATGGTTTGGGTCTGCTTTTCGTCAGCAGGGACAGGGAAGGTGGTCAGAATTGATGGGAAGATGGATGGGGCCAAATACAGGACCATTCTGGAAGAAAACCTGTTTGAGTCTGCAAGAGACCTCAGACTGGGACAGAGATTTATCTTCAAACAAGACAATGATCCAAAACGTAAAGCCAAATCTACAATGGAATGGTTCATAAATAAACGTATCCAGGTGTTGGAATGGCCAAGTCAAAGTCCAGACCTGAATCCAATCGAGAATCTGTGGAAAGAGCTGAAAACTGCTGTTCAAAAACGCTCTCCATCCAACCTCACTGAGCTCGAGCTGTTTTGCAGGAAGAATGGGCAAGAATTTCAGTCTCTCGAAGTGCAAAACTGATAGAGACGTACCCCAAGCGACTTGCAGCTGTAAATGCAGCAAAAGGCGGCGCCACAAAGTATTAACGCAAGGGGGCCGAATAATATTGCACGCCCCACTTTTCAGTTTTTAATTTGTTAAAAAAGTTTGACTCACGATTGTGTCCCACTTGTTATTGATTCTTCACAAAAAATAAAATTTTATATCTTTATTTTTGAAGCCTGAAATGTGGCAAAAGGTTGAAAAGTTCAAGGGGGCCGAATACTTTCACAAGGCACTGTACTTCCTCAGATGGCTGAGATGAGCTGGTCTGGGAAGCTCAGCCCTCACCTCCTTCTACAGGTGTGCAGTGGAGAGCATCTTGTGCTCCAGCATCAATGTGTGGCATGGAGGCTGCACAGCTGCAGAAAGAAATGCTTTGCAGAGAGTGGTGAAGGCTGCACAGAAGTCTGTTGGAGTCAGTCTCCCCACCGTCACAGACATTTACACATCCAGATGAAGGAAGAGGGCCACCTGCATCATGAAGGACCCAGCACACACACTTTTTGTCCTGCTCCCCTCAGGATGGAGGTTGAGGAGCATTAAGTGTAGAACCACTAGACTGAGGAACAGCTTCTACCTTGAGGCTGTTAGACTCATGAATCTCTTACCAGAATAATCACTGAAAAATCACATCTTGTTGCTGCTGATCTGTTTCATGTTGCTGCTGATCTGTTTCAATGTTGCTACTAATCTGTTTCATGTTGCTGCTGATCTGTTTCATGTTGATGTGTTCGTGCGTGCTCATCTGCTCACACAGACTCATGCTCATGTTCGTGCTGCTGTTCGACATAATGTTTTTATGCTATTAATGTTTAGTGTATTTTTAGTTGATGTTTTTCTTAGTTCGTATCTTAGATTTTATTACTGTTTTTCTTTTACATCTTATTGTTGGATGTAAATGGGACCCTGTGTACATAATTTCGTTCCACCACATGTACCACATGTGGTGCAAATGACAATAAAGAATCTCTGACTCTGACTATAACATCTCTTAATGAAATGTGGATAATGAGATACAACAATGTTAAATTTCCTTTTGGGATTAAGTATTTTTAATTGAATTTGAATCAAACTGAATTATATCTGAAGATGTACTTTTGATAAACATTGATGAAACTTTTTGGTCCCAAAATACATTCCTTTCTTCTGTTTACCAACTTATTAATCATTTGTTGTCTTCTCACAGATTGGGATTCCCCATGATGGTGATGACATGCATGATCGCCATGTGCTTCCTGCTGGCCACCCACATCGGACTGGGGTGGAACATGTAACACTCAGTGTTCAATGTTCATGTGACCACTCCTCGAAGAGTTTCAGCTCACTACAATTGTAAAACAAGACTGATCGATCATCTTAGTACAAGGATCACTATATCGTATACATTTTTCTACTGATGGAAAAATATCTGTATGTAAAATGTGGGCTGCCAGGGATCAGATTTACTGGCACTTTGAACTAAATCCTGATACTGATTTTGTTGTTTGTTTGTTTAAAATTAATTAACTTTGTAACTGTATATGGTGCTACAGTTTTATTGGAATTAACAAACAAGTGCCAATATTTAAAAGAAACATCCAGTGAAAGGGATTTTATAACAATTTATGACTATATATCTCTGTTGGATTCCTTGTGGAACAAAAGCAAAATCAATACGAATGATTCAGGAAACAGTTGCAGATTTTACAACACTGTAAGTCATCACTGATTAAAAAAAATACTGTAACAGTAGTGATTACATAAACTTGTTGACCAATAAACATATATCATATTTTTAATTTGTCAAGTGAAAGTATTTTGTCATGTCATGATCAGCGATCACTGCTGGCCCCCCATCTGTTCACTTCCCTGCCCCTTCATGACATGCCATGTTTTCTGCCCTCTTGGTCATAGTTTCTGTTCATGTTTATTATTCTCATCTCCTGTCAACCTGCACCTCTGCCTGCTCACTTCACCACAACACCTCAGCCTATCACAGCAATCAGCTCTGATTCCACTCACCTGTTCAGCTCATCTAGTTCACCTGCTCTGCACCCTTTATAAGATCCATTCTCCCTCTCCACCGGTGTGAGATTATTAAACCTTCTATGGTCCCTGATTTTCAAGCCTTCACAGTTTCATGCCTAGACCTCAAGCCTTGCTCTCTGGTTTATTGATCTCACACCTGCCTTCTGGATTTCCCATTTTTTGCCTGCTCCTCATTTGGTTCTGTTCTGCCTCTCTGACCACGGTAACGACCTCCTCTTCAGTCTATGACCTTGATTCATGGATCACCCTTTTGGATTGCCCTTTGGACCACAAACTTTCATTGCCCCACTGTTCATAGCATTAAAGGCCTCCCTCTGCAGCTGCCGGCAGCCTTATTAATAAAAGTTGTTAATTTTTGCACTCCTGTGTCTGGGTTATTTTGAATCCAAAACCCTGGTTTGTGACATGTCAGATATTTATTTAGACTGTTCCTGGGGTTTTGATCTTCTCAGAGACGGGATCATAATGAATTTATGACACGGTTCTGACTGGGTTAAACTGGGCCAGCAACTCTAAAAAGAGCCTCCCAGGGATTCAAAATCTATCAAGGAATAGAGTTTATTTCTGCTTGCTACATCACGTAGAAAGACTTTTGAAGCACCATCTAAAATTTCTGCACACGTCAGTCCATGTAAGATCCATTGAGATCACACTTAGTCATGCCCCCTCATACACTGACAGGTTGAGCTCCCCTTCTGCGAAGGAGGAGTCTAGGACCCTATAAATCAGTAATGACATAGGACATCAGCCCTTCCGGTTGCTACTTGTGTCGAACTGTCCGGAAGAGGACAGCGCTGTAAACTAAACTTTTCCTGCATTAATTTAATATAATTGATAAAACTTATTGACGTTTCCTTGATTTATTGATAGTGTGGGTTACCGCTTCTGAGGGCGGTTTGAGCCAGGGGAAGCGACGTGGGCTGGAGGCGGGTTTCCAGGTCTGGTGGCCTGCAGCCAGCACCCGTCGTAACAGCTGGTGCCTGAAACACCGGTCTCCCGTCTTTAGAAGTGGTTACTCGTTTCTTATTATTCAATGGTGACACAGCGGCAGGTAACCGAGTTGGAGCAGACTGTTTCTATCCAGCTATTAACATGAGGTAAGCGGAAAACCTGTTAAATCAACTTTCTGCATGTCCCTTAAGGACTTCAGGCTGCTCTGAATTCGGTCCAGTGCATGCAGTTTAGTGAACTAAAAGGCAGTAGAACATTACAGTATAATACGTGATTTTGTGAGTGTATTTATTGGGTGTAAAAATTTATGTATGTGACTTTTTTCACCTGGGAGTGAGCCGGAAGCGTTAGCAACAACGCTAACCGGAAGTGGTCCGCGAGCATTATAGACAGGCAAAACATTAATTTTGCTCTAAAATTAAGCTTTGTCCAGTTGATTTAAATGCCCACATATATATATATATATATATATATATATATATATATATATATA